TAAACCGGTACCGCGAGAAACGACGCACTCGTATGTTCTCCAAGAAAATCCGGTACGAGGTGCGAAAGATCTACGCCGAGAATCGGCCACGGTTGAAAGTACGTACTTTGGTTTTGTGAGAGCGATGGGCTCGCTCGATCTTCTTTTGCCGCTGATGATGGATTGGATCTTTCTCTGTGCCAGGGCCGGTTTGTAAGACGAACTAATGAGATAGAGTCTCTCCAGTGCTTGTGGTCCGAGGATCAAGTGAGGAACTAGAGAAAAAATCTCCACTTTTTTCTGTCAAGCAAGAGAACGTTTCTACTATATAAGAGAGATTATATCTTAGTGAAGAACCCTAAAATATTTGCGATGGCGTCGCTCTGGCGGAAGCACCAGCAGCGCCTTCGTCAAGCGGCGTCTCTCCACAGGTACTCGACGAAGAATCCCTCCTTTTCTTGCGCTGCATTCGCAATTGTGGTGCTTGCAGCCGCTGCATCGCTGTGGCTCTACCTCCACACGACCGCGGGAGCTCGGATTTCGCAGTTCCAGGCTCGAGATGCCGGGGATCCGACGCATTCCAATGTGGATCTTGGCGTGGAATCGGGGAATGCGGTGGCAAGAAGGGGCGATCAGGGCTGTGATTACTCGCGTGGAAGATGGGTGTATGATCCACAGCGCCAGGCTCTCTATAACGAGAGCTGCGTGGATATTTTCAAGGGATGGAACTGTGTGCGCAACCAGAGGAGCAATGCTGGTTCTGTTCTTCGGTGGCGGTGGCAGCCCGATCGATGTGATCTAGCTCGGCTCGATCCAGCAAAGCTTCTCGAAAATCTACAAGGAAAGAATATCGGTGAGCATTGTCTCAATGTGTTCCTTGGGTTCTTAAAAAAAAAAATTTCTCTCTATTCACAGGGTTTGTTGGAGACTCTCTCAATCGCAACATGTACGCTTCGCTTGTCTGCACACTCAAGCAAGCCGCAAGCAAGGACTTAAAAAAGTGGAGGCCAATTGGATCTGACAAAGGCATCACATTCCTTGGTTACAACGTTACTGTTGCCTATCATCGGACCAACTTGTTGGCACGCTATGGAGAGTGAGTATCATCTCCGATCTTAGTCGTTCATAGAGGACTCCTGCTTGAGTGTGTTTTTTTTTATGGATCCAGATGGAAAGCTTCGGCTGATGGAGGCCCGCTCGAAGAGCATGGTTACAAACAAGGATATCGAGTTGATGTGGATATTCCACAGAGCACCTGGTCTGAGGCTCCACAGTTTTACGATATCCTCGTTATAAGCACAGGTCACTGGTAACCAATCACCTTCTTCGTTTGCACCGTTGCTACGAATCGTTTCTGTAGGTGGTTTGCTCCTGAAAAGTTCAATCCAGTGACGTCGCCGATGTTATTCTTTGAGAACGGAAAGCCCATCGTCCCACCGAAGTCTCCCCGTGAAGGATTGGATCTCACACTAAAGTACATGGTATATAAATCTCCCTATCATCGTCCTATCTTTAACTTTTTTTTGTTTTTTCTCAGCTGAGCTTTGCGGAACAAAACATGAAACCCGGAGGAATAAAGTTCTTGCGCACGCAATCCCCTCGTCATTTTGACGGGGGTGACTGGTACCAAGGGGGAAAATGTCACCGTTCCGGCCCCTTAAAGCTTGCAGAGGTGGGCTGCGACATTGTTTTCGTTTCAAACCCATTCGTCCCAAACTTCCAGGTCGAAGAAATGTTCTCTCCAGCGAATAAAGGGGTCAACAAAGAAGTGCGGCTCGTGAACGAGCACCTGTTCCGAGCGGCTTCTGCGAGCTCCACTTTCAGGCTGCTCAACATCACGCACTTGAGCGAGTTCAGGGCCGATGGACACCCGTCAACGTCCGCTAAGAAGCAGCACGAAGATTGTATGCACTGGTGCCTACCCGGAGTGACAGATACATGGAACGAAATACTTGGAGCACTCATCTTGGAAGAATCCGTCACAGGAGTCCTTTAGTCTGGTAAGTGGCCGTGAAATTTTTAGTTCTTCTTTTTTCCTTCCGAGTGGCAATATATCTGCGCACTAACGACGAAATATGATGAACTTCTTCGTGGATTCTAGGCCATCGCAGGGACCACACGGTGAAACAACTGTAAAGCCGCGAAGACAGGTTGTATTTTTTTCCAATCGCTGGGACCACTTTGGTTGCGCTTGGACAAGGTGGAACAAAGCAGGGAATGACGACTTCGTGCACGGGATGGCAATCAAAGGTCGGCCGGGTATGGACATGGACGACGGAAGAATTAGAGTGCCGCACTTGGAGAGCTCTCGAGCGACGAACGATGGAAACAAGGGTGGTAGGGACATACAGGCGGGGAATGATGATGAACAGAGCCGCGGCTGGCGAGATGCTCGAGATGGATTGCTTTTGTTGCGTAGCTCTTCGCCATCGTCGATATCTGCTCGTCCCTCCAGTGCCTCTTGCTGCAGCAGCGCAGCTTGTCGACGATCACATCAGGGACAAGTACTGGCAAAACCAGGAAAAAGGAGGAGCTCGATCGCACTACCGGGACAGGGATTCTTCACAGGCAGGCAGAGAAAATGGTTACAGGCTGGGACTACTGGTGACTTGTAGGTGAGAGTTTAGCGACAGGGACGATCTCTCTTCATATCTTCTGGCGAAGTAGAAAAATGCTTCTTGCCAGTCACAGAAGATGGCCATGACCAGCGAAGCGGAGGATCAAAGTATCCGGAGATCACGGAAGTTACTCCAGGAGATTGAGTCAAGGCCGCCGCCACCTCCGCCGCTCGCGCAATCGAAAAGAACAGGCAATCTTCTGGACACGCAGATTGTCATAGTACTCGGCGCGGTACTCTGTGTGCTCATATGCGCGGTGTGGCTCCATTCCGTGGTACGGTGCATGGTACGGCGAAACCGGCGGCAGCCGGTGGCGACCGTCATCGGCGGCGGCGATGACGAGAGCGCCGCCGGGCTGGACGCGAAGACCATCTCCGCGTTGCCCGTCGTGCCGGCCTCGGTGGACGGGCACGACCGGCAGGCACCCGTGGGGCCGGTCGCTCTTAGCAGCAATTCCGAGTGTATTGTTTGCTTGCAAGAGTTTGGGCATGGCGAGAGGATGAAGCTCCTCCCAAATTGCGGCCATGGATTTCACGTCGATTGCATTGGCGCGTGGTTGATGTCCCACTCGTCGTGCCCGATCTGCCGCCACAGGGTCTTGGAGCCGCCGTCGCCGTCGCGATCGTCGCGATCGTCGCCATCGCCCGGCGATTCGAGCTCGTCCGTCCTTCTCTCGTCGCCACTTATGCGCCAGTTCCAACACCAGCTCAATTCGCAGCAGCGATCCTTCCGGCGCCAGCAGCAGCAGCAGCAGCCCAATCCGGATCTCGTCCTCCAGCACAATCGATTCGCCCATCAGCTCCGCCAATTCCACCTCCAGCAAGAACCATCGTCTTCCGCGCTGTACGAAACGACCAACGGCCGGAGCCTTGCCACGTAGCGGCCACATCGGACGGTTGTCGTTCAAGGCCATCGGACGGTTTTCGTTTGAGGCCGTCCGCGTTGACGGTCAATTAGGATTAGATGCGAATGCGAAGAAACAATGGCTTGTTTTGTTTGAGGAGGAGAGCAAATGCCGTGCCGCGCTCGTTTTGGAGTTCTTTTCTACCTATCTTAGGGCTAGAAAAATGTAGTCATTCACCCCTGGGCCAATAAAAGATCTGGAAACACGTGTCGTGCAGGAAAGCTCGCGGAAGGGGCAGTGCAGCCTGTGGGGTGGGGCCCGCGTAGCGGGCAGCGGGCAGCCGGGCAGCCGGGCAGGGGCAGCAAAGGCTGCCCGTGCCCGCTGGCGACAAAGGCGGGAAAGATGCGGTCTGCCTTTAGTTACGTGACTGACCATACTCCCTTCTTTGCCAAATCGCCGTTAGCTATGGCGGCCAGAGCTCCAAAGGAAAGAAAAAAAGAAGCCCTATCTCACTCACCCCTGTCTTTCGTATCGCGCAAGGGTTCGCGATGAAAGCGCTCCGGGTAAGGTCTCTTTCTCCTTGTTCTCCTAGATCCAAAACAAGCAAGGGGGTCTTGAGAAATCCTCGAGCTTTCCACCATGGAAAGGACAAGAAGAACAGGGAAATTGGGGTCTCTCCTCTCGGCCGGATCGCACACAGATTTTGGGGTCTTCTCCTCGATCATCCGGATTGATCCAGTCGCCGTAAAAAAATAACCAGAGTAAAAAATTGGGGCAGGACTTTTACAGGGATTCGAACCCTGGCATCATCCCAGGCGGGAAGGCCAGACCTTGAATGATATACATGGCCATGACTGAGCGGGCGTTCATGGACCCCATGTGCACGCAGCCCTCCTGTCCACGCGTCACGATGCCAGTGGCTGCCATAAAGTCCAAGTCCTCGCGGGGCCCGGGACGCGGCCCAGTGACTGCCTGCCACGTGTCGCAGGCGGCCGGAATATCTACCGAGAAAAGCTGCGTCTTATCTCCTGCCACGCGGCGTGCGCTGGTTGGGCGAGGCGTTGCCCTAGCGGAACCGCGCAGTTTTAATCCGGGAGCCGCCCGGTTGGAAATTTTTTCGTTTTCACCGGCGGTAAAGATGGGGTTTTCATCTTCTTCCCCTTTAGTATGGGTGTCGTTTAGTTTGGTTGGGTTGCCTTTGTTTGCCCTAGCTATGGCGTCTGCGGCGGTAAAGTGTGTGGCGCCCTGAGAGAGAGGAAATTTCTCGCAGGAAGAGCGAGAGGCGCTCGGATGTGGGGATCTAGGGCCGTCGCAGCAGTCGATTTCCCGGGGGCTCCGCGAGTAGGGTTTGGTTCTGTGAAAAGATGCGGTGTTCTTCATGCAGGCAGTGGCAGCGGCGGTAGCAGCGGCATCGCAAAGAGCCATGGCGCGCCCCTGCGCGAGCTCGCGCGGAGGCCGGAATCGCTGAAATCGTCCGAGGGATGGACGAGCAAGACGAGGAGGGGGCTAAGCTAAAGGCAGTGTAGCGCTTCTATCTTCTTCTTCCCACTTCTTCTCCTTTTTTCTTAGGGTTTCCTCGTTCTTCCATAGCTCTCTCTCTCTCTCTATCTTTCCTCTCTCTTTTTTGCTCTCTATGATCTCTTGGGGCGCTCGTTCTTGGCCAATGTTACAAGGCGCTGCTGCTCAATGCCGACGGATTACGCTCCTCGTAGCAAGCCGATGCATACTAGAGAAGTGAGGTACGAAAGAAATGATAGGTTCCTGGGCAAGAGAGACTGGCAGCGCGTCGCGGTGTTCGAGAGGTCCCCAGCTCTGAGCTCCTCGAATGGCGGATCTTATGATCCTCCCAGCAAGCGGCGTCCATCTGGTACTTTTAGCTTTCTCTCCTCTATTTTTGCCTTAGCGCCGAAACTGATCACCGTGGTTGTTTCCAGGGCGGCATGGATTCTCTGGCGAGAACGGGAGATTCCGGGAGCACAGCAGCAGCCGCGCGTCAGAGAACCAGCCCATGTTTTCCTCGGCGCCGAGTGGTTTCACGGGCTTCGGTCACAAGCCGGAGCGCTATGTTCTTCCCGGTGGGGGGATGACCCACTGCCCCGGCTCGAGCAGCTCGGGAAGGAACGGTCTCAGAGATGGCGGAGGCGAGGACGATTTCTTCCGGGAGAGGGACTGCGAGCGCCTGGTTTCTTCGTCGCCCAGCCCCGCGCAGCCGCTCCATCCTTACAATTCGGTGGTCTACGACGCGCACCCCGGCGACGGCCACAGGGGCTCTCGCTATGGCTGGGATGTTCACAGCAGGGGCGAGCGAGAGCATCACGCGACGACGCGGGAGAGGTTCTCCAGCAGCCCGGATGTGTTGGACAGAAGAAATGGTGGCGGCAGCGGCGGCGTCTCGAGATTTGGGTGGAGCGATGCTCCAGAGCGGGAGCTCGAGGGGCGGCTGGACAGATATGGTGCTTCCCGGGACCCGGATGGGCGGATTCGAGAGCTCCCGGCGGAAGAGGTCTTGGATCCGTTCGTTTCGCCGAGGTTCCAGCAGTCGCAGCACCAGCGGGGGGGCTTCTCGGTGCCGGCCTCGCTGCTACAAGAGGAGAGGGTACCTTTGCCACCATCGTCTCCTCCGAAGAAAACTCGCCTCAAGTGGGGGGAAGGTCTTGCGAGATACGAGCAGAAGAACACAAGCAGAGCCAGGTCCCACGAGGAGGAGCCAGCCCCTGCGACGAGTAACGGATGCGCTGAGCAGGAACAAGCACGGGGTTTCGAGAGCAAGGGAGACGCGAATGGAAGTAAGTGATA